GCGAGAGCGTAAATATGCTCGATGAGTAGGAACGTCAGCATGGCAAATCGAGCGGAGAGAATTTTGGGTTGCCGGGCACAAAAGACGAAATGGCAGTGACTGATTTCGGCGGTGCACGTAGGCAAACACGTGTAGCGGCGGAGGGAGAGAGGCGGCCGCGCAGCTCACAGTAGTATAGCCATGGCCATAAGCCGCGCGGGTGGACCGCATGTGCGCATCGACGAATATGCGCTTCGCTGCCGCATTGTTGCTGCTACTGTCGCGAGATTATATGTACCCTCGGAGCCGCACGCCGTCGACAAGAGAGCGCGTACGCGTATACGTGTGTGTGTGCTCACGAGGAGCCCCAACACGTATCCGCCAATCGCCCAGTTATTTACATCGTTCGCTGCCGGTGCGAGCTGCAAGTCCTTTCGCGTTTTTTCCCTCTCCGATACGAGCACAATAATTCTGTCGCATATACACACTACTATGCTTCTGGCAGCACGAATATTGCTCGCCATGAAAGTACAAGAATGGTTCGTAGGACTGTTAAAATACAAAACAACAAGCTTTTTTTATTCTGCTTTCAAGTTTCTTTTGAATTTATCAATTTCGTAAATCGTTGAAATTTTTTAAAATAATTTTTTCATTGACTTGTTTCAACATTCCTTTATCATCAATACCCAAAGAATGCAACGGAATGACACTAAAATTCCTGGAAATGTTCAGACAAATACAGGCTAATCATTTGGATCAGTTACTTACTGTATTTTTATTAAGCTGTTAACGTGAATTTCTTATTTTCGTTTGACAAATGCTCATCTTGCCGTATTGATGAAACTGTGATTAACAGTAAAAACTGTGACATAATGGCAACTCAACTGTGATAAATTGATAATGTTCGTACGTAGCCATGTACATTCAGGGATCAATTATTACGTTATTTCATTTGCATTTATCTTATTTAATATTAAATTCTTTCTATTCTATTCTATCAATCATTCGGAGCTAGGTTATAACGAATTGTACATCAATATATATTTTGAATAATATTTTTGAGAAATAAGCATTAGTAATGAAAAGTTTTTTAGACGTTTCTAAAATGTTAATTCTAAGATAATGATAGTTAAACTTCATATTGAGTATAGGTGATAAATTTACCGCCGTAAAATTGTGGTTACGAAAGAAGTAACTTTTTCCTACAAAAAATTATTTATAATCTTTACGACCCTAAAATTATATGTTCAATCATTGTCACGTCTAGAGAGAAAACTGCGTGTTATTGTAACTTTCGTAAAACGCCATTGGTAACGCAAAATAATCGAATGTTATCTTTTAATAAAGCCATGCTGAATTCCACGTTAAGAGGGAATAATATAGGCATATCTATAATCGAGCCATCGAGAGGCGAGCGCATTTCGTTACACACACCCCGCGCATAAATGCACACCCTCTTCTCAATTTCTCGCCGCGAGCAATCGTGATTTAGCGTCCTGCGCGCGCCCCGACGCGCAATGTAAACTATACGTGGCCATGTACGCTCGCGTTGCAGCAGCAGTCGCGTGTGGTACCGACGCGCTTTTGTCTCTCGCGAACGTTCGGCGAGAATCGAGCGCGCGATCCACAAAAACTGACGACAGTCGAGTGAAAAAGTGAAAATACGGGCGAAGCCTTGATAAAAATCGAAGCCGCGCACGAGCTTGAGTGACGTTCGAGTCAGCATAACTGTGCTTCAAAATCAAAATTGTCTTATGCGGCGAAACGAAACGAATTGATCAATTGTATTATTGACGCGTGCCAAACCGAAGTATTCAATTATTACCCTTGCAAAATAATGCTATCCATAGATAAACGATTTTCTTCATTTCTATTGTGCACTGATCTTGTTTCTGCAGCAAAACCGATAATAATTTATGACGATGATAAAGTTATTGTTGTACACGTTATTTTTTACTATAAATTAGTCGAGTAATTGCGAGTACATTAGGTTGATTGTTGACAGCTCACGGTCAATTACGAGCAGCTGAACTCGTGGATGGACAAAACCAAGACACGCGTTCTCTCTCTCACTAACTTTTTTCCTTCGGCAGGCGCAAGATCTTCTCCAAAAATGCATCGAAAGGATTACGATTTCCCTTGCCGCCTCTCATTCTTTTTGCCCGACACAGAAGAGATCCCGCGGGCAGTTCTCGGTCGCGCCATCTGTTTTCGGGTAAACACCGACAGCACCGCTCTCTCTTTCTCTCTCTCTCTCTCTCTTGCTCTTTTTCTCGGGGGGCTCCGGTAGCCTCGAGACAAAATTCAATTTGGCCGGATGAAGCGTAAACAAGTCGGCAAAAAGAGAGCGAGGGAGGTTGCTATACGCGATCTGCCGGGAAACATCATCCGCAAGCCTCTACAGTCCGAATGCGCGCGAGCGCTTACTTTGTATACTATATATATATATATATTTTTATATATACACGCCTATATGTATTTCATATCACGTGGATGAGAAAGAAGAGAGTTCGAAATTTGTGTATACGCTTTGCAGTTTTCGCGAGGGATCTTGAATTATTCAAGATCACGTGTAGAGCCTGCGTGCGAATTTTTATTGGCCGAGTGTGAATTCGCATTTGCTTATTTGCATATTTTTGCGCGAGCCAGCTATTCGGGATCGCGATTTGCAACGAATATTCAAAATTATTCAAAGTTTGATCATAAATTGCATTCTAACGGTGTCCACACGGCCGTAATCAACTCATCACCTGCGCGAATGCGACAAACGAACAAGAGGCTGCCAAATATCGGCTATTCCCCGTGGACAAACGAGCGCACACGAGCGAATGATATAGACAATACGGCAAAAACGAAAGAGACAACAACGCGCGGAGCGTGGAGAGAAAAGAACGCTTGCGTCTGCGCCGAAGGGGGAAGATCGATGCGCGCGGTGTCAGCGTCATAATTGAATGAGTACCCGGTCGCTGCCTCTGTCGGCACGTCTGGCCTGTGGCGGATGCCTGCCTCGGGGCCCTTTTCGGTACTCTTTACCTTCATCGGGGCCCGCCTCGAATCTCCTTTCCTCCCTTCCTTCTTTCTTACTCTATAAAAGCCTTTCGATTAATTACTCGCCGCTGCAACACCTCAGACACGCGCGCGACAGTCAAATATGCTCGAATTACTTTTATTCTCGTCCAAATTGATGTTTCAACTCCATTACAACCTGCAATTAAACTCTTTTTCTTACTAACTGATGGACATGTGATTTCACCTTCTTTATCACAAAAATTCATTTGCTAGGACATATAAACTATCATTATTATTAAGAAAAACTCTCCTAAGAGAGATTATACGGCAAGGTTATCATTTTAGATATTTTATTCAGAAACAATATATTAATAATATTTTTCCAATACAAACTGATATCAGCCTTACAATAGCAGCTACTTTGTACAATAGCAGCACCAAGTATTTGCATTGAGAGAATTTCTACCGTGATCATAATACTTTTTATATGACGATACTGAAAGGAAATTAATTATAACCGACACAATAAAAATTATTTTATTTCATAATACATTTATACTACAATTAAATATGTTGGACTATGTAATATAAAAATTATTATGATTTAAACCATTTTTACAATGAAAGAATCACAAATTACTAAGATCGGATTGAAGACTGTAGCGTGGGTGTAGTAGCAATTGCATATTACGCAGAAGCAACAGTATTGGGCAAGAAATAGCAAAAGCTACGTGTAAGGAAACGTCAATCTGGATTATGCATCTAAAAGTGCGTACGATTTCAAGGGGCTAACAGGCGAATTATATGTAATAGGTTAACTTGTGAACTAAGTGTGAATAAATGGATAAGACGAGCAGTATATATGTATGTGTATAGATATATAGGTAATGTATTGATTAACCATATACGCCCTTCTTAAACGAAGAATTTTATAATGACCTTCGACAATAATTCAAATCAAATATAGCATTTAATTTTTTCACGGATTCTTTCTTCAACCGGATTCCACTTTCAACAGTAGGTTTAATCATGATGCGTGTAAAAATTCGTCTCCCATACTCTTTAAAAAATTGTGGGGAGATTGGTTGCATGCTTCACTTGGCTATAGGGAATGAAGACTATTGTGTACAAATATTCAACGTATCTGTCCAGCGTTCAAAGCAAATAAGCGAACGTAATTGTTGTAGTAACATCAATATAACACTTTAGTTTTTCGGAACAGTAAAAATTTCAATGTACATATATTTCTCCTGTATTCTGTTTATAATAATAATTACCGTAGAATATAATCAAATTTTCTATGTTAAATAGTAAAACGTTCAAAATTTTAATTTTACTATGTTTTACAGTAATCTTTGCTACAGTCAGTGTATATCCTACGATTACTATGTTTTTTAATGATTTCTATATTAGATTATGGAAAATTTTACAATATCACTGCTTTCAGTGTTTATTAGGTTGTTATTGGTACAGAAAAAAATATTAATATGTAAAACATGTATAGATGAAAGTAGTGTAAACTTTTTAAAATACTATTAAATTATACCCTTTCAATGGATAACAAGTAGCTTTCAATAAAAATTTATGAAGCCGATAAAAATAATATAGTTTATATATAGGTATATTATACTCGGTAAACGAAAAAAATTAATTATTGCAAAATTCATCTATAATGAACAGGAAAATGAAATGTTATCAATAAATTGTTCAATAACACTATATATTTGCCGTATTGCTAACGTAATATTTAAATTAAAACCATCGAATCAACAGGGTCTTAGATCATTTGAAGAATTTCATTATTTGAGTTCTCTAAAACTCTTGGTAACTATAACAATTATTGTTTTACGATACCGATTATTTTCCCAGTCAAATTAAGAAAAAATTATGATTGAATAGATGATAACGTGTTTCCTTATAATTTGCTCACAGTTGTTGTTAATTACTTAGTTTAGAACTATAAATACCGATGCAGGGAAAATATTAATAACATAACAACAGTTTTGCAAAAACAATGTGGAAATTCGTTGTGCTGATTCCCATTCTGCTCACCTATACCGAAGGTTGTAATAAAATATCAATATATTTTCGACACTCCGTACGGAAAGTGCGTTTTTCCCGCACGCTCGGCAAAAAACGTGCGTTAAGAATCGCACTTTCCATACGTTGTATCAAAAATACGGTACGGCACATGTTCGGGAAAGAGTTTCTCGTCTCGTGTACCTTTCCACCCTCGCTTCGCTCGGGCGTAAACGCCACACGAGACAAGAATCTATTTTCCCGCACTTGTATCGTAATGTACTATTTCATATACTCAATTTAACTGTTTTATACGCTACCTATCCTTCGTAGGCAATACCGAAGGGCCTGACATAGTTGGCGGTACCAAAGCCAAGGAGGCAGAAAGACCATTTCAAGTAATAAATACATAGATTACTGTTTGCTGATTTGCAAAGATTTTCATTCAAAATTGAAATGATAAAATTCATCAGTGAGTTTGTCATATTTTAGGTATCTTTGCAAGAGGTAATAGGGTATCACTTCTGCGGCGGATCAATTATAAGCGAATATTATGTTCTAACTGCAGCTCACTGTACTGTAGTGTATGAAAAATCAACCTATAACCATCTATTTCAGACACAATATTTCACAAATACTTAAAAATATTGTTTTCCTTAGATTTGATAAGGCAATGGTAGGTTTTTTGTTTGCTGCAGTAGGTATGTTGGATGTTCGCCATCCTGGTCAAAATCACAAACTCTCTGACTTGATAGTACATGAAAAATATGACCCCAACGATTCATTTCGCAATGACATTTCTCTCGCAAAGGTACATTTTGAATAATTTAGTCTTTCTATTTTTTTTAAACAAAACTTCAAATAAAATATACTTCATTTATCAGGTTCAAGAGCCTTTTACCTTCAATACATTTGTACAACCAGTTCCCTTGCCGAAATCTGACTTTCCTGTGCCAGCTAACAGCAGTGTTGTACTTTCTGGTTGGGGAGATCTTGGAGGGGTATATTTTTCACATATACTACGCACCTAATTCTTCAAAATATTTTGTTTCCAATTATTCCTTTTTTTCTGGTGTAAAATGTTATCTCGAATATATCTCATTCACGACGAATTTTGAACGATATTTAATTTTACTTTTATCGTAGACAGAAAATGAATCACCTCACCATCTTCGGGTAGCAACGTTGTATGTAGTCGATCAAGAAAAATGTAAAAAAATTATTGAAACTGGACCTAATCATGTTTATAAAACAAATCTCTGCGCATACGATCCCAATACTAGAAAGGGACAGTGCACAGTAAGTAGTAAATACACCATTGAAGATACTTTATTATTTATATCATATTCATTGATATTCATCATCGATAATTTCTAAAAAGATTTGGTATATGAAATCAAAATTACATTTATGAAAATGAAATCGTAATATTTTTTATAAGTGATATTTTGTTGAATTTTAGAAGGACTCTGGTGGTCCGTTGACATTGAATGGAACACTTGTCGGAATAGTTTCATGGTCTTTTAAAGATCCTTATTGTGGAAGTACGAAAAGACCAGCTCAATACACAAGAGTGTCTGAGTATATAGACTGGATCAAGGAGCATACTGCTTAAGAATTATACAGTGGCACTTAAAACTTTAAGTAACATGTAATTGTTAATTAGAATATACGCAATAAATTCCAGAGTTTTGGAAACAAACAAGAGATACAATAATAATTTTTTTTAATTAAACCGTATTTATCCTAATGAAAAATATCCTTATATCAACTGCTAAAGCTTTGTTGATTGCTCTATAGCTCAAATACTTCATATTCTATAAGTGAATATAAAATTATTTTCTTTGTGAAATCAAGTATTATAGAACAGATAAACAAAGAGCCTTTTTTATGAAAAAAGTACTTAATATACGCACTTTAAATTATATAGAAAATAGAATCCATAACTTTTTATAGAAAAAAAACGGATCCCGGACATACTGTAACCTATTCCTTTTACGACAGTACCATTTTCTACTTTATAACAATTTATTAAAATTTATTATTTTATATCATATTATGGTGTAGGCTTTGACCATTGTCAGACTCATGCAAAACATATACGTTAAACCTCAATTTTTGGACAATGTATCATGAAATGTTGAACGATACTAGAATCGAAAGTGATTGTTGATGAAATTTGTAAGTAAAATCAATCTTTATCAAAATAGTCAGAAGCATTCTCAATACAACGCTGAATAAAGGGAATAATATTTTTCAGAACACAAGATAACATAACACTCCTCAGCGTATGTAATCTTCTGAAGATTTTTTCCTAATTTATATGCACAAAAGCCTAGTTAATCCATAGAAAGTGAATTTTCTATGAAAGAAGTAGGGCAAAAGAAATGACGGTCTCTTTGACGGTATACTTCTACCTCACGACCTACTATTTTAACTGACTGTGCTATTTTTAGTGAAAGCTGTAAAACTCGCCGAGGTCTCATATACGAGTAAACCAGCAATATATACGTAGCATGTCTTGAATCTCATCTTCGGTATCTAAAATCCAAACAGTTATTTTCTGAAAATTCGAGAATTATGTAAAACGCAAACATTTTTAAAATCTTATGAATGTAAATATTTTATTCGAGAACAAAAATGGCGTGAAAAGATTATAAGGAAGTTTCAAAGCCTCATAATTATATGAAAACGAGACGCACATTTAAATCACAAATCAGAGGTCGAATGTCGATTGGTAAACAAGCAAAGTCCCCGAAAAAGTGAAAAAAAGAAAAAGAAAAAGAAAGCAAAAACATATGTAGATTTGTATCTTCGGTGCATGCTAAAAGAGACACAAAGTGTGGGAATCTCACGTAGTACCCGCCACGGCATGGTATCTTCGGAATGAGGGGCACGCGAGAAGAGCTAGAGAGCGACTGGGCCTAAACCGACCATTAGTCGGCCGGGCTCCTAATACCTAATTATTTAATAAAAATATGTTTACGACGTGGCGCACAGTTCCTTCCTTCCTTACAGTGTTCTCTCTCTTACTCTATATATGTATATATATCTTTCCATTTTATTTGGTGCGTGCCCCGAGGGAGGAGGTGGACCTCGACAAAAGAGCCAACTAGCAGTTTAAAGGGGTCGAAGGTTGTGTATGCACTACCATAGAGGCGCGGCTCGCATCTTTTAACCGCGAATACCCTAACGCTCGATTTTGCATAGCTCGCGTGCCTAAACGTACGCGCGATCACCTTTTTGCGATCGTCAGAGATAAGGCGTTGCCGACAGGGGTGGGCTCCAAGTCTACTTTTTTTTTAATCGTTCTCAAGCACCTTTGATGTTTGTTTGAGATGTGTGTGTTTTTACGTCCTTCACGACTCAGAGGTATTTATTAAAAAGCAAAATTTTTTTTCATCCGCTACACCACAACTCAGACGGCGTATTGAAATTTATATTTTACTATTCGATAACAATGGAACATCACAATCTATAAACCGAACGATCATTCGGTAGCTAAAAGTAGATAACCTATTTTTTACTTTAAATAGGAAAGGCAATAAAATGGACTTTCCTCGATACAATTTGCACGTTAAATATGACAAAAGAATTCGGTGTTTTGTCTTTTCCTGATTCGATATGCCTGTAAACGCTAGCATTTATAGCCGGAACAATCACACATTCAGCTAAAATGACATGAAAATTAGTTTGTCATTTTCACGATACACGTGTAAATTATTCGACAGGAAAAGAAAAAAGAGAAAGCAACTAATGAGTTCGCGCATTCAACGATGTTTTACAAGTTTTCTCGGTAATGGCCAAATAATTATGAGTTTATCGCGAAGGACGCCGTACAGGTGCACGCTTCCCTAAAAAAGATTGAAGATTTGGCAATTATGATCGGTGCTTGGGCCCACCCACTCTAAACACTCTCGAGAGACAACTTCCCGGTATAATCAAAAGCCGCGGCTCTCTATTCTAATTCGAGGCCCTCGTAAAAACCAAAAATTCCATATCCCTCTCTTGCATCGAGAGCTATAATAAGCTGTTCCTGGCGGTCCGCATCTCGAGAAATATACACAAATGCAGAGCGCAAATTAATGCGTATGCAGAATTCAAGGAATCTCCTAGAAAACAGGGAATCTTCCTTCCGTGTAGCACTGTCGATTCCCATGCACGAAAAGAGAGCGTCAGACGGAGGGTCGGGGGAGGACTAAGTGCCGGGAGCTCCCTTGGTACGCCTTCGAAAATTCCAGCCGCGGATTTGCACAGGCAATTACACGGCGCGGCGTTCGCGCGAGAAGCACTCCCCCGCCGCGTAGTTTCTGCGAGTGGCGAAAAGGGGGGACACGGGGAGTATTGCCCCCTCGTAATGGAAATTACAGTGGTGGCTAAGTGGCGCGCAGAGGATAAAACTCTTTCTTTCGTCTCGGCTTCTCTCGCGAGGGAGGTTGCGCGAGCTCGCGCGCGCGCGCGCACGCGAGAGAGAGAGAGAGAGAGAGAGAGAGATACGCGCGCGACTCGTGTGGGAAGCGCCGCGGCTAATCAGCGGTTCTCCCAACTCACACAGGTATAGGCTAGCCTTTTAGGGCCCCTTCAGCGACCAGTGTACAACTGTGATTTTCGGCTAGCCCACATAAAACGCGCTCCTCTCTTTCTCTATCTCCAGAGTATCACTTTTCGCGAGCGGCTCGTTTGTTGTTATACTGACCGCTCTCTCTCTCTCTCTCTCTCTCTCTCTCTCTCTCTCTCTCTCTCTCTCTCTCTCTCTCTCTCTCTCTCTCTCTCTCTCTCTCTCTCTCTCTCTCTTTCTCAGTATATAGCTAACCTTTTTGACTGCCTTTGTTTCGTCAAATTTCGCATAGCACGATAATGATTACGAACTTCGATAACTTTAATTAATTGCCTGCAAATCATCAACTGATAACTGGCGTTCACATTCTTTAGTAAATGTTATTAATAAAATCAATCATAAAAATATAATCAAAAGAAATAATTCCATTGTTATTTGGCGTTGTCAATTTCTAAAAGTATTTATGTGCTTTGATCGTTATATACTTGACGAGAGGAATGTTGAGGACAGAAAACAGAAGTATAGGTGGAAAAAAGAAACGTGAAAAGTACAATACACGGTAAACCATGTGTTTAAATTTAAACGTTTAATATGACGTCACCCATAAGAAATACATTGTCCTCAATTTTAAACACTTCTAAACGTTTAAATTCAGCGACAATGTATTTCTTATGGGTGACGTCAATTTTAAATTTAAACACATAGGATTTTAAGGTTTTGCCGTGATACTATCATATTACGTATAGTATTTGATTAGTAAAAATCTACTATCAGTTATATGTACACGCCTTTCTAGAACACTATTGTGAAGTGTCAAGTACAAATCATATCAGATATACCAGTTTACAACTGCTCAAAAAATAGATATATCATTTTTTTCATACGAAAGAAAAAAATAGCACAGTCATACAGTCGATCAGCTGCTGGAATCTTATCGGTGTGATTATTAAAGCATGTGCGATCGCAGACGCATCAATCAAAATCGCAAATTTAACCAATGTAAAAATAATTCTGAATCGGATACGGGCTTTCACCGAGATGTAGATAGTGCGAGCATCATCTGCATGTGCGATTATTTAAAACTTGAATGTTGAAAGAAATCTTGCAACAATTGTAAAGCGAAACTTGTTGTATTGACAATAAATCAATGTTGCACGCAGGTATACCGTTGCGGGTAATAAGCCTAGCGCTTAAGTTGGCGCAAAAAACCCGACATTTATCCCGAAGACCTCTCTAAATCTTTTCGACATCTCGCGCTTGGCATCTCCTAGACTGTTTGATCTCGATCGTCGAGAGGGAGCATATATTGCCGGCGAATCAAAAACTCCCCCTCTTTGTGTACGAAGCCTACAGCATCTCTGATTCTCACAGACGTAGCCTTACTCTTTCCCTCTCCTTTCTTGTACGATTTCTACAGTCTCTTCTGCTCCGTTAGCGTATGCTATTAGGAGCATTAGGCGCCAGGGCGTTCTGCGCACGGGGTCAACTAACCTTTTCATTAGAGGTACGAGAACGGCTTATAAAAGGATCTGCGCGAACAGGGCCGAGAAATAGAGAGAAAGAAGGAACATTGACGCGAAGCAATGCTGCCCCTTACAGAAAAAAGTCTTTGTAAATGGTATAATTATGATGCGGAGAAAGATGTATAAGCCTTGTAATTTTAACTGGCGCCAAACTAGTCAGAGAGATTTCTGCAGACTTTTGGAGACACCTACGTACTAATTATCAAACTGGACTGAGGGAGCTACAGTCAAGGTCATTTTATGTCTATACTTTTTGTTTTATAATGCAAATATTATGAAATTATCGAATGTTCACGTTTATTCGACAATTCTCTCGTTTTGCTAATGTTGACAGATATCCGTTCACCACTAAAACTTAGGCGATAATAATAAATGAGTAGTTATAAGTGAAAACGTCATAATGACCTTCCTTAGATGGCCTACGTACAACAGAACGCAGGATATAAAAACCAGGAGACCGCACACTTTCTCGAGTTTTTCCGTTTTGAATAAACAATGAGAAAGCATATAACGTTACTTCATTGTCTGCTTGTCTTTTCTGAAGGTTATATTATGAAATAATATTTGCTATCTTTACATGCTTTTACGTACTAATTTTCTGTTTTAGAAGGGCATGCTAAGCCACGAACAGCAGGTAGTCATTCAGGACCGGATGTAGTAGATGGCCAGAATGCCAAACCCGCGCAATTCCCGTATCAGGTGATAAAAATATACAGTTTGTGCTAATATTAAATTAGTTTTTGTATTTCACAGTCATACTAAATGTATATTTCTTTCCAGATTTCCATGCAAATAGTAAATAAACACTTTTGCGGCGGATCTATTCTGAACGAAAATTACATTTTGACTGCATCTCATTGTACTAAAGAGTAATGAGAATATTGATTTAGAGAAATAGGAAACGAGAGCTGTATCAAATTAAAATATCAAATATCTTGTTTACAGGTTTAACAGTACAGACCAACATCTTATAACCGTGGTAGCAGGTACTATTAATGTAAATGAGTCATTAGAAACTCGTCATGTAGCAAAAATTATCCAGCACGAAGACTACCAACACGACAATTCAGATAAAAATGACATTTGTTTGCTGAAGGTATCGTTGCAACTAATTTAATATATCCTTTTTTTTTGCCTCCATTCAGAATATTATAAAATAAATTAATCACACAGCTCGATCGTCCACTCAAATTCAATTCGAAAATTAAACCAGTTACTCTAGCTGAGGCTCATACTCCGATTCCAACGGGCAGTCCCGTGCAACTTTCCGGTTGGGGCAGTCTAGGAGGGGTATGAACACTTTTTATTTCAGAAGCTTTCTTGTAGGAATTGCTCTTAGCTTATAGCTCAACGACTAATTAAATTTATTGAAAAATATTACTACTAATTTTTCATGTATTGTCGGATAAAACGATGTTGATTTTCATTCCACTCTAATTATTATAAAACAACATTATCTCTTGATATGAAATAAGATCTTCGCTTTTCAATGAATATTTTCTCAAATATTCGGTAAATGAATTTATTCAAATTCACTGATTAGTTCTTGAAATATAAGTTGACAGAAACAAACAATTGAACATTTTATTCACTTTTATATCTTTATCGCACTTCTTCAAAGTCCTTTTCATTTGAATATGAATGGAACTTAAAGGCGATTGATTCAATTGTACTTTGCTGTCTGTTTGTAATAGGAAGATAATAAAAAACCAACAATATTATAAGACGTGACCATTTATGTAGCAGATCAAGATTACTGCGTAAAAAAGATGAAAGAAAGTTATCAAAGAAAAGTGCGTTCAACAAATGTCTGTGCTTACAACCCAAAAAAGAGACAAGGAGAATGCAAAGTAAATTTCAATTGATATTTCAATTGATGATTTCAATTATCGCATATAACCGTTTACACGAAATTGCGTACAACTATTTAATGTTTATTAATGTTACCTCATTGAATATTCGATCAAATAAAAAACATTTTGTATTCACTTTATAGGGTGATTCCGGTGGTCCTCTTACTCTGAATGGAAAACAAGTTGGTATCGTGTCTTGGTCAGTTAAGGACCCTATTTGTGCTAGTACCGAATTCCCAGGAGTCTATACAAGAGTACCCGAATACATTGACTGGATAAAAAAACATGCCGTTTAAGCTTTCGATGGACTGTCATTTTATTATAAAAATGTATAATTATACTTTTCGGCAATAAATATCACAATTAAAAATTATATAATTATTTATGTACGTCTTCAACCTTCGATTAACTTCACTAGTAAGTTTGTTAGTATCTTCATAGTTAAACATATCATATTGTAAGATAAATAACATATTGCTCTTTACATCCTATATTAATTCATCATCTTGTTTTACTAAAATTACAAGGTAGCTTTTTACGATGGCAAAAATAATCATTATAAACATATTTTATAACATGAAAATCAAATTTTTGAAAATATGATTTTTTTATGATATAAATAGAAATTCACCAAAAATTTTTAATTTTCATATCAATATAGAATTTGTAAAAGCAATTTTAAATTTATGATCGCTATTTTTTGTGATTCAATATTTTATTTTTTTTAACTAATTGCCGTTTTCAGACTTTTTTCAAACAAGTTTCATTATTTTTTACCGAAAAGTCGGTAAAAATGATAGGTAAGCGATTATTATGAAATGATTAAAATTGTTTTTATTGTCAATGGTACTATCACTGGTAAAAGTATATTTAGTTACCAAAAAGCTTTTCCAGATAAGTATTCTACACTATTTTCAATATAAATATATATGTAGACTTATTTTGGCTAAATTTATTAAGATCAAATCTTTTTTTTAATCGAAATAGAACTTAAAATTTTGAGAAGTTACAATTGGCATTGAGCTACGTATAAGTTTCAGTTTGAAGTATTGGCAATAAATTGCATGTAAATAAAAAATAAAAATTTTTTTTCTCCCAAAAACCAAGTTATGGCAATAATACAACTACAAAACAATGATCATTGAATAATTTTAATTGTACCTTGTGAATATATTTTAATGATACAAAATTGACATTAACAACTGAATTAGTAACCATTACTATTTTCCGGTTACTAATTATGTTTTAAACATATAAATACCAACACTTAGCAAATATTTTTTAATTTTTTGATCTACAAAACTATGAAGAAGTGCATAGCTATCTTTTGCTCTCTCCTTGTCTTTTCTGAGAGTTTGTATTTGAAACTTACATTTTCTTTTGATTATATCAACATCTGAATTATACCTATTTTTTGTAGGTTTCGAAGTGGGACCTGATATAGTCAATGGCCGTGATGTTATGCTTAAAGAGATTCCGTATCAAGTAATTACATAATATTGTTATAAGATATGTTATATTCGTAGAGTAATAAAAGCAAAAGTAATAAATTTGATTCGTTTTTAGGTATCTTTGCAAATAGTAGGTTATCATTTTTGTGGTGGATCAATTATAAGCCCGTATTATGTTTTGACTGCAGCTCACTGTACAGCACAGTAAGAGAATTAATTTAATAATAATTAATGGTATAAAATTTATACAATTGAATATATTTGAACCATTTATTTTTCAGATTCAATGATACAACTGTACCTTTTATATACGCAGCAGCAGGTATGATAAATGTTTATGAACCTGGGCAAAGCCATTATGTTCAAAAATTCATAGCACACGAAAAGTATAATCCTAAAGATTCTTTTCGAAATGACATTTCTCTTGCTAGGGTATGTTTTTATTCAACTTACAACGATATCTTGATTAACGTTTCATAAATTAGATATCAAACATATTTCTCTTTGCAGCTAAAAACTCCATTTATATATAATTTAAAAATACAACCAGTTACACTACCTAAACTTCAATTTGTAGTACCAGCCAACACTTCCGTCGTACTTTCTGGTTGGGGCAATCTTGGAGGGGTAATTTTATGTTGTGATATTGTGATTCTTATTTATGTAACCGTTGTTATACTCCATCGATATAGGCAATGAAGGAGTTGAAAACCTTTTTTAACGTTTCATCAACAGATTCGATAACATCATCAGTTGACAAAATATATTTGTTCTGACCTACAGAACTAATTGTCGTGAATTGTTTGCTGAATGAATTGACGAATTTGTTAACGAAACAGTAAAAGAGAGTTTCCATTACTTCGTTGCTTATGCACGTAAACAAGTACAGCAATGATTGTATACAGAAATATGGTAGGCGAGAAAATAATTCAAACAAATGATTCTTGCTTTGTTGTATAGTACGTGAACTTACGATAAATAACAAGTATCCAAATTTAAATGATGCGTATAGAAATGTGTAAATAATGAATTGTCTGGCCGAGTGATAATTGTCAGATGTAGGAGGAGTCAAGGTCGTAAAAACAAGCAATTCGCACGTTTTGATTTCAACTATCTAACAAATACGGATCTATGTTCTCACTTTTGCAATATGAAATAAATTTGAATATTATATGTTCTAACATTTCAATCTAATCTCGGTGAAACGGTCTAATGAATACATTCTTATGCGTCTTGATGTGATACTGTATGTAAACTCATTGACTCGCGACCGCTCGGTCCCGGTGTTTCGGAGAGACAAGTGATGAAACGATGAAACGTGACGATCAGGCAATTGCGCCACTGTGATGGCTCTTATGTGATATGGACAATATGTAAACCCAATGTTTTTGTGCTTCTCGTGATGATATTCGAGTCGGCGTATGACGTTGTCTTCAAGATCAAACGAATTGGTAAGAGCCAAGCGCATACCGATGATGGTGGTTGCGAGGCGGGCGCCGAGCGATAGAAGTCTAGTCGAGCATGAGCCCGAGCAGCCGGCCGCGAGAGCTACAAGCGTCATTAGAGGGCTCGTATCCGATTTTAAACGTCGATCGAACAATCGACCACGATAAACGCGAGTTTAATCTTAGATGTTATAACATAATGCAATTTTTTAAGTATTCTATTATTTCTAATATATTTAACGTGAACTTTTCACGGAAATTCGCAATGAAAAATAATTGCTTTAATAATTCATACGCACTGTAGTTTCCCTGATTCTTTAATTATTGGAGTAATATAATATTTCTAAAATTTTCATTTTGTAAAGAATGAACAATTCGTTTCCTAACTAAATTTTTAATTACATTCCATATTTTTCTATATTATTAATAGAAAGATAATAAATCGCCAACAATATTACAAGAAGTAACGCTTCATGTCGTTGACCAAGAAATGTGTAGAAAAGATGTAGAAACGAACAAAAAGGACCACCTTTATAAAACAAATATCTGTGCATTTGATGGTAAAACCAGAAAAGGCCAGTGTGGGGTAAACTAACATTTTTAGTAAATATTTTTACATTTGTCGTTGCTTCAATAAAATGTATTTATTGCTGTTTTTCTCTAACATTTTAGGGAGATTCAGGTGGTCCTCTCACTTGGAATAAAGTACAAGTAGGTTTGGTATCTTGGTCGGTTAAAGATCCCTATTGTGCTAGTGTAAAAACACCGGGTATATATACAAGAGTATCAGAATATATCGAATGGATCAAGAAGAATGCAATGTAATTAAAAAATAATAATCAATTGTTTATAAATTGAAATATACAAAATAAACTTGTTGATGTAATAAATACTGGATTTATAATACTAGTAGTATTTGCTCTCTTGTTACTTTCCTAAGATGAAAAAAATACAAAAACAAATATTAACATCAAATCGCAAATCATTATTTGAAACAATGTAGATAAGTCTATTATATACAGATTATCAATTTTTATTATATAAATTTACAATAGCTATATTTTTTGTACCATAACACAATATATTTTCTATAATGTTATAGTCTTGTTAATTGAAAACTACTAATATTATAAAGTTAATACTAATCAATAAATCACGAATTTATTTTTATTTATTGGATAAATATAATCATCAATGATGCATTTTCTCCTAAATCAGAGTCAAATTAAAATACTTGATGAAAGACAGTTTAATCTATAATCACAGCTATGCAGATAATTAAATCTACAATCCATCAATATTTTATCGCCTAATCTTTCGATCGCGGTCATAGATATCAATCTAAGTGTATATAAAGCTCCACACGATCTCATTCATGACGCCAGCTACAGTTGTTATTAACATGAAGATCATAATTTATGTATTGTGCAGTTTACTAGCCTTGACACAAGGTTGATTTTTGGAAATATATAATATTTACAATTAATTATATTATAGTATTCATAATTCGTTATAAATCATATTGTATCTAGGGCGATTTATTGAACCAGGTGATATTCAATCTAGAGTTGTAAATGGTGAAAACGTAAAACTTGGCGAGAGACCTTTCCAGGTACAAATTTATTCACAAATGTACTTTCTATAAATTTTCTTGATATAATTCCAATCATCAAAAATAAACATTTTTTTTTATTTTTGATGATTTTCTGTGTCTTTAAGTTTTACAATTCTGCATTAAAATATATTAAGTACTCATTTATGCGTAGTGAAAATAACGTTTTTTCGCAAATAACTAGGTATCTTTGCAAGCTTCAAGTCACTTTTGTGGTGGTTCCATTGCAAATGAATATTGGATCATTACTGCAGCTCACTGTGTCAGCGGGTACGTAATATTTACCTACGTATAACATGTTTTTTTTTCAAAAACAATTATGAGCTATATTTATTGTTTTAAAAGACGTTCTGGATCTTCAATTAATGTAATTGTCGGCACAATCAACCTTAAAAAACCTTACAAATCGCATCGAAGCGAGCAAATCATTATTCACGAACGTTATGCGTCAAGTGACTCTCACAGAAATGACATTGCACTAATAAAGGTGAACGCACAACTTTTATCTTATAATCTGTAGATAAGTGAAAACGTATATGGACAAAAGAGTAATTTATTCTTATGTTTAGCTTGCCGAACCTATCACTTTTTCAGACAGGGTTAAACCTGTAGAACTTCCTAAACCTTACACCAAAGTTAAAACTAACAGCTCTGCTGTTCTATCAGGCTGGGGTGGTACCGTTAACGTAAGTATTATGTGCCTTTAATTAAGATTAATAATTTATATTATAGTTTAACGGTTTTTGACAGACATGGTCGCCCACGCCCGATGACCTTCAAAAGGCAACTATTTTTATTGCTGACCCAGAGTACTGTAATAAAATCATGAAAGAGAAGAGAATGACCATATACCCAACCCATATTTGTGCCAATGACCCATCTATACGCAGAGGACAGTGTAATGTAAGAAGACATTTGTATAATTTCATTTTGATTCGAAAATAATATCAGCTCATTCTGTGGATAATTTACAGTATTTGTTTTGATAACGCATGAGTCTACAAAATAATCATTGATTAATTCGTGGGAAGTACAATCAATAAATTTATTTCAGGGTGATTCTGGTGGTCCTTTGACTGTCGATAATAAGTTGACAGGTATTGTATCCTGGTCTATCAAGGATCCAGACTGTGCTAGTACTAAATACCCCGGTGTCTACACTCGTGTCTCTGAATTTGTTGACTGGATTTACAAATATATTAATTAAATTCGCATCAATTCCTTGATCAATATAGTATATTTTCTGGTCAATTACTGTTATACAAACGATTATTTTACATTTTTTACTTTGTACTTTTATGGAAAGTTTTATTAAAAAAATATTTTAATATTATTAAATTTGGTTTTTTATTATTAAGCATATCCTCTATAAATTATCAAATACCCCTATATAATTATAAATCTAATAAAATAGATAGACCATTTGTTTTATTTGATATTTTTCTATTTTTCTTTTTTTATTACTTCTCTATTTTAGATCGGCCCTTTTTTACATAATTTTCGAAGTATTACAGAGACCTCTTACATGTATGTTATTAATTGTTTGTATTTAATTTATTCTCTAATTATTCATCATATAAGTCATAAATCAAATAATTTTAGAACTGAATGGATTTCACGGCAAAACCTTAAAATCCTATGTGTTTAAATTAAAACGTTTTAAGTGTGCAATTGTGACGTCACCCATAAGAAATACATTGTCGCTGAATTTAAACGTTTAAAAGTGTTTAAAATTGGGGACAATGTATTTCTTACGGGTGAAATCATATTAAACATTTAAATTCAAATACATGGGTTTACCGTGATTTTAAATGATAAAACTTTAAGACTATAATAAACATTATTGTAGCTATTATAGCGTTTTCAAAAAACTTCAATTATAACTTGAATTTATTCGCTTCAATTTAAATAATATTAAATGATTTAGAGAATTTTTTTATGAATTTTATCGGATAACATAGGGTAATCCCATTTTCTTATAATTCATTGAGTTCATTCAATTTATTTATCATAAGATTGATAAATAATTGTTATCAATGAATGTGATTGGTAGATTAATCTATCTTTGAACACTTGACCATCTGCTTTATCCATAAATGTTTAAGATATACAAAGATTGAAATTGAAAAGGACTATAGTTAAAAGTTAAAATGAAAACTGTTGCTTTGATTGTGTGTGGTTTCTTCGTCTTCGCATACGGCAAGTTACTATTTGAAACCATTTCTGCTTGACAAATTTATTAACTCTATTCACCGTCATATTTCACTAAAAATTTTTTACAGGTTATGTGCTTATCTAAAATAACATTAACTTGAGGATAGTAAATGGCAAAAATATAAATATAGAGGAAATATCTTTTCAAGTAAAAAAAGAGTTTATAATACACGGTTACAAAACTTTATAAAATATTACGAAGTTTCCAATTGTTTGCATAACTATTAATTCAATAATTTAAATTAGTACTATAATAATCCAACATCATAAGCATTTTGGTTAGGACCTAGTCCCTTCTATGGTCACCTTCTGTGTGTCACCTAATGGTTCAATCATGAATGAATACTAACAATAAGTCGTAATCGCAGCGCACTACCTCCAATAATAAGCATTTTGAAATTTTAGAAAATTTCTTTGATTTTGAGTTTTAGAGAATCATTTTTATCAGTATGACTTATTATTTTCAACTGAAAGTAATCTATAATTGATGCTATTGTGGGAATTATTTATCTAAACGTACCGTATAGCTTACGCAGTAGCATTAAAATAATTATTCATAAAACATATGGCTATATATAACAGAAAAGCTCGTTTTTGAACGCACGTTTTTGACCGAGCGTGCGGAAAGTACATGCTCACCGCACAAGTGTCGAAAAGCATATTCTTGTCTCCCGTGGCGTTTTCATGTAGAAAGTCACACAAAACAAGAATCTCTGCTCGATCATGTATTGTACGGTATGTTTTGATACAATGTGTGCAAAATTCTATGTTTAGCGCACGTTTTTGGTTGAGCTTGCGGGAAAGTCGCAGTGTGCGCATGGAGTCACGAAAACGACGCTACTTTACTAACGGTAAATATAAAATTTTCTCCCGACCAAAGAACGACATCATTGCTAGTTCGCGGATAATTTATGTACGAAGATAGGCCAATCTATGTTAGAGGGGATGTATTATATGAAGGGGGGTGAAATAAGCTAATTATGTATACTTGTCAGGAATAAATTATTATTATTATAAAATGTTCTCCCTAGTAAAAAGCAGAGAAAGAGTGAACCAAATAATCATACGAGCTGATTTGCACAATTTCAGTTTACAAGAAAAGTAAAAAAAGTACAGTTAGTATCACTTCCTTTATCACATCAAAGTCAAGACCAATAATTTTGTTGTTATGTCAGAATAGAAAACGTCTATTTAAGTAAATCAAATCTAGTAAATATTAAAAATATACATGAAAGTAGTATTAAGAAGCAACAGCTAATAATATTTATTTGCATTAGTCATGGTTAGGAATACTCAACGTTCTTCAAAAAGCTACCGTTTTCATAGTTAATCCAGAGCGTCGTAAAACAGTTATGTTCAAATAGCATAAAACGATTTATCATACTAATATATATGCTTATAACCCATTCAAGAACAGTGCAGCGTAAGTTTTTTTTATTAATGTTAAAATAAATTGTTTGGCTTGCTAACGCCTACCATAATCTTCACTTATGCTAATCAGAACATTTTTATTATAATACGTTTATGGCAATTTCAATACATTTTAAAAGTCTATCAGAAAATATTCTTTTGTCCAGGATTCATGAAAACGTTAAATAAAAATACTTCATAAATAAGACATTAATCGATCACATAACAATGAAGCATTTATAAGCTTTTCGTTTTTACTCTATATAATTTTAATTAATAAATTTATAATTTTGTATATAAATTAATTTATTTATCAATAAAAACAAACGTATTAAATTAATATTTCGGTAATAATATTGGAATAAAGTTGAAAAATCTTGTTGTCAATTTATCAGTTATTTCCAAATAACATTGTTATTATGTTTATTAAATATAACATAGGTCGTATACTGCAGACCGGCAAGACTTTCAAAATTTTCTTTAACCTTTTCAACAGATTTTTAGTAGACATCACCAGTATACATAACTATGAAAACTAACTATAAATTACACACGAATCTTCATAAAACCACATTTTTAAAAGCCTGATTTTCATAAAATTGAATGATTTATCTTTTAGATTAAGAACAAGATCAGGTCTATAATTATAATGTTGAAAAATTACTTAAACTTAATAACGCATTAATTACTGTTAATTATAGTTTTATACAAAAGTACTTTAGAAAATAATTGTAGCAATTGAACAAATAAAGCATGATGTTTGAGAGTTTAAATTTGAATTTAGTATTCATTGAAATGTATAATGACATTTTAATGGCAATATGTTTAGATAGATATTTAAAAAAACTCGAATCTAATTAATTTCAATTCAAATGGAAAACAACGTTATCGCTCATGAGGTATTATCTTATCTTTCGATTATTAATGACCAACTTTACATTGTATTTCAATCAACGAGTTACAGAAAAGTTTTGTTAGTCCACATTTTGAGTTTGGAACAACATGTCGATCAACACTAGTTCACTGATACTCCTCTTCATACTTACAATTTTAAAAGGTAATGGCTTATAAAAAAAATTTTAATTACCTAAAACCGATTAACGTTACTTCAAGTATCATTATGTAATTTATATTTTCTGATTGAAGGTTTTGCTTTTCAAGATGTGAAACGGATTTTGAATGGCTATGACGTCGCGCCTCGAGAAATTCCTTACCAAGTAAAATAGTTTACACTTCTTCTTTTATAATAAATTTTGAATACACTTTATTATTGGATTTAGGTTTCTCTTCAATACGGAATGATTTCACGGCATTTTTGTAGTGGTTCAATTATAAATAATTATTATATTGTTACTGCTGGCCACTGTATAAAAAAGTACGTATTATTGTTGTTGTTTAAATAGTTTTACAATATGTAAAGGTAAATTAATACATTAAATTAATTCATTTCTAAGTCGATTGCTCAAAGATATTGTTGCGGTGGTGGGTACAACGAATCTTAATCAGCCAAAATGGACTTATAAAGTTATTCACTTTTTCGTACACAATAAATACAAAGTACCAAACCATTTTGCAAACGATATCGCATTGTTGAAGGTGATGAATTTATAAAATAATGGATAAGTTTAACGAAATTCTAAATCTTTTAGAATTATATTGACTGAATTGAATTAATAGGTTGATCGCCGCATTGTATTTAATGAATTTGTGTCACCGGTACGATTACCAAAAGCCCATGAAGAACTATCATACCACCAAAAAGCTGTTGCTTCTGGTTGGGGAATGACTTCAGTAGTAAGTGAAAGCTTAGAATGGTGACATTGTTTTAAAAAAAAATATTTTTATTGGAAAATTTGTTGTAGTTGAAATCCACTACTTCAGTGACTTTAAAGAAAGTAGAAGTTACGATAGTCGATCAAGTGTATTGCTCTAATTTGTACGGGAAAATACATAAACCAGTTTATCCTGTTCAGTTTTGTACTCATGATGTTCAATCTATTAGAAAAGCCACGTGCTTTGTAAGTTACCGAAATATTAAATTTATGTCTTTCAATAACATATTTTCTCATCATATTTGAATAATATTTATGGAAATTCTAGGGAGATTCCGGTGGTCCAATAACATTCAATAATGTTCTAATCGGGATTGTGTCTTGGTCTCATAAAGATCCTGAATGCGGCAGCCCTAAATTTCCCGACGTTCACACACGAGTATCAGAATACATTGATTGGATAAAGAGGCATGCAGTCTAATAATAAATAAATATGGAAATTATACAATATGTAACCGATACCTTCCAAGTTTATTTTTCCATAGTAATGATATAATTACAAGAGTAAATTATGTATATATAAAAATCGATTTTATTTTATTATACGTATAGAATAAGACGAGGATAATTGTCGACCGTGCCCTTGCAAAACTATGACATTGAGACAAACGACAATACGGCCCCTTTTAAATATTCAGCGACATTCGTCATAAGGCGTGTATTTCAAGATTCAATCAACTCTGAGAAAAACAAGTGGAGCCACCGCTACTGCTGTCCTTCACGATTCCGCTGGATTTACGAGCGAGCACACGCGTGTACACGGGGCTTGTTACTCCGGGGCAACGAGTCACTTTTACGATGCTCGCGCGCGCGCTGGCTCGAGTGCCGCGGTGATTCGATATACCGTGCGGCAAATTGAAAAGCTCACTGGCGTGCATACACGTGTACAGGTATACCTTGGCTGACGTTGTATAGCGCCTTCTTTTATTTTTCAAAGTCTTCGGAATCTAAATTAAGATTGATTTGCATTTCTGTTCTCCGTACGACACTTCGGATACGACGTTGAGAAGAAATGGGCAGAATCTAATTATAACGACGAGGTTGGAGTCATAAAAAAAGCGTTGCTGTGATTATAACTAATGCGAAAATAAATGAAGAAACAAAAACTTGTATTAAGCAGCTCGTATAACCGCTACGTACGAACTTATTAGGTCGTAAAACATTTACAGGCTCTATTGCTTTTGCAATAAATTGCTCGTCGGGTAGGTTATGCCCTCGCATTTAATAAATGCACGTCGTATGATTTAGTATCTCAAGGATGATTTCTTAAAATTTTGCAGGAATGAGCCAGCTCCTCGAGCGATATCCCAACCCTCATTTCCAAATTGTTCGTAAGAATGCTTGGCGCTCCGTACCCCGGCCGACAATAATCAGGACGATCCACTTGCAGAGGCAAAAGTAAAATGCCGTGAGTCTTTAAAAAGCATGTGGCCTGGTCAAAAGAGCGCGCGCACGTGTGCGAATTTCGGTCATGACTCGCGGCGCGGCAAAACGCTACTTGCAAGGGAGAGGGCAAGTATGAGGAATGAAGCTCGCGAGCGCTCGCTGCACGTTCGCGCCCCGAGGACACGTTTCTTGCTGCCTTTCGTTTACGCGTTCTTCACGAGCTCATTCAGCTTCATCTCTCTGCACTTTAACTACGCCCCAGTTGAAAATTCCCTTCGGAATTCACCGGGACATAAAGTCCGTGACATCTCAATTGCTTTTTGCGACAGTCGTTAAGTGTCTCATTAATTATATATCTCGTTGCTCTCAATAGTTATTCGCGATATTTATGCATTTACATTTTTCGCACAATCATAATCGTTTTTTTTTCAGCCAAACTAGTTGATAAATCAATAAATGGGAGCTGCTACTAACGAGCGATGCGCGTACGATTGCCAAGCAGGACGTATAATTGAAAGCGTGCCGCGGCAATAAAGAGTGAAAAATTAGCGGAACCAGTTACAAAGTGTAATAAAAAGTAAAAGCTCATTCCTCGGTTGACTCGTATCCCTTTGTCTCGAAAAATTATCCTTCCAATTAAAAAGAAAATCACAAGAAGCCTTGAGCGCGCGCGTACGCATATAAACTGAAGAAGAGAGATGAAGCAGCGAGGTCCGGCGTACACACCGCAAAAAGAAAGGTCCTGTGGAATGCAGGCTCGTATGCGCGCGGCTCGAGCGCGCGTGGGCAGAAAGGAGAGAGACGACGCGGGATTAACACGAAAGAGAGAGAGAGCCCATACACCGAAAGCCGCAGGCTGGAAGACGAGAAGTGGCTGTCCGCCAAGCGATAGCGGCACACGAGTGCCACCTTATGACACACTAGCGCAGACTGCTAATGCATTCCCAATTGTACTGTTCGAATCGAATAATAGAATCCGCCTACCATTTCACCGTGAGCAGTCGCAAAATCGCCGATTCGTCGTTTCGCGAGCAGCTTTAATAAACAGATGCATCAGCAGAATGGATCGCATGTGCGTCGAGCCGCGGCTCTCAGTTTTTCACATTTTTTTTTCTTCTTGACGATCCAACAGGCGTTCTTTTTTTTTATCTCCTTTTGGGGTGCGCTGCTTCGAGATGAATAATAACGCGAAATACGTCCGAGGCTCGCGAGCGCGCGCACCTTGCACGCGTAATTAATGCGAGCCCAGTCTCTCTCGCTCTCTGGCCAGAGGGTAAGTTGCTCGCTCGGATAAGCTCGAGCTCTGTTTGGATTATCGCCGCTCCTTGCAGATGCAACGTTGTAGGGCGATTTCTTGCTTCGGATCTCGAGTCCCTCTGTAATTTCTCGCTCGGCCAAAGAATGGAACGCTTGCTCTTTTTTTTTTCTTCCACGCGGCTAAGGAGACGCGTTGGTGTTTCGCCCAAGTGTTTGCAATAATAATTAAAACGATTGTACATACTCGACCAGATAACATCCGCCTGATTTTCGTATTTTTCCAAATCGCTCGTTTTTCCAACGGCAATTCCAATAACACGTAATTTTTTCGATATTCCTCTAATGATTCTCCTTCAATGCAAACCATCGTTATGTAATATCATATTTATAACTTATTTCTTTTTATTTTTACATCCGATTTCGACAAATTCTTTTCGTTCATAAGTAAAGAGTTTACTTGTACTTTTAAATTCATATACATATAAGACGTATGTCCATTATCAGTTGGGCAAGCTTATCAAACGTTTGATGAATATTAATGTCTATAAAAAAATTGTAATAACGTTTAATTTGATACTGGAAAGTTTTCTTCGTTATCTTGTTACGCAAAAGAAATGAAAAATTCCATTGAAAAAGCAGATGCTCGTCTCATTCACTTTTTCTATAATTAAAATTTTTTTTTATAATTTAATGAAAATTATAGTAACATGAACTACAATAAAAATCAATAAAAATATAATGCATAGACGTTCTGTCGATTATCTGCTGAGAAAAACGTAAAAATTCCAATCAATTAAAGGCAATGATTGATATATGACGGATTCCGAAGATTGGTCCTCATCGGGCGAACCCAGTTATTAAGAAATCGAGCGATCGCGTACAACACGCAAAATCGAAATCGGGCTGAAACATCGGAAAAAAGCTCGCGTCCGAAAATTTGTGCGCGCGCATTCTGCAATGATTTACAGTGGTGGATGATTTACAGCGCTAGAGAGTGGTAAAGCACGCTCACCCCCACAAAAGGCTTGTGCCAAAGTGGAAGATTAGAGGCGATTATCGCCGTATCTCAGGTGCGCGATGTATATATCTATAGAGCCCGTAATTCAAAGTTGACGCGTGGGTGGCTTTATATGTATACGCTAGCTTAAAATCTTGTGCGCGACCTTGAATTTCGGTGCTTTAATCGCGCATTCACTGGACAGCGAGCTTTGCTCTTTGTATTTTGTTTCGGCGAGAAGGAGACGTTGATGCAGTTAAACGCGGCTCGTAACTACGCCTCGGTATTTTTTTGGACGTTTCTTTGCACACGTATATGCGCAGTTTGCTTGTTGGCCGCGGCGACCTAGCCGTACTCTTCCCTTGATTTACGACGATCCTAGAAGCATTTTTTGGGATATTAAGCGCGGATGCGAAATATTGCTTAATAAACCTAATCACTTTGTTCGCTCGTTATGATGCTGCTCTTGGCTTTAGTGGATTCGCCATAGATTTATTAGTGGACAGTGATGCTTCTTGTTGCCGTGCAAAAGCTAAATTGAGACTGGTATCAGTAAATAACTGCAGATTTTTCGAGAAAAAAAATGTTCACTTCGTTTAATTACACTATCAGACCATATTTCATTGAATAAAATTTACATATATAACAAGATTTCAAAGTTACGATGATCAAATTGAAGTGTAAACTAGCAGGAACATTTTCATGAATATTCTTAATTTTCGATTAATAAGTTAACGTGTCAGGGACAAAGTACATTTGCGATTCAATTGCATCAATGATTGCAAAACTACATATATTATTTTTCAGAAAAATACGAGAATTGGAATAGGTTTTTGAAAAATAGTTTTTTCACAGAAAAAGTTAACAAAAAAACTAAAATGAATGTTTTGCGAAAATAATTAATTCCAAAAAATAAATAAATAAATAAAAATAACTGCAGAAAGAAAAGAGTGATATGGGCCTTAACAGCAATTAGAGAAAAAACAAATAAGAAAAAGAGTGCAAGTGAAAGGGCTCTGGTACGGAATCTTTAAAGGTGGTAAAAAGGCCGTCGTCACACGGTCGAAGGAATCAATCGAGAAATGCCTTGGAAATTGGTCTCCCACCGAGGTTACGCGCACGATTCAATTCCTCTTTTTTTCTCGCTCGCTCAGCAATCATTCGATGGATTAGCATAATGACAGGATTTATAGCGAAGCATTGGCTGGGAGATAGAAACAGCCTGAGGACATGAGGGGGTGTTCGAGGTAGCAAACGGACATCGAGAGTCCAGCCCGCTATCGTAATGAATAGGATAGTTTCTGGCATTCAACGATTATACGGCTTTTCCAGCGCACCAGCAAATGATAGATTTGTGGTCTGATCTGCTTCCTCGTGTATTTTAGCGGTAACGTGATCATGCCTTTCTATGTATCGAAGGAGGATCCCTGCAGTACAATATGCTTCTGACCGACTGCCTCGTATTGTTTGCTTCTTATGTCTGTGAAAGTGCCAATTAATACTGAAAGGATGAATTTTGAATAATAGACAATGAAAATTATCGACCTATGCAATGTATTTTATTGAAAATTTTTTTTTTAATTAATAAAATGAAAAACAGGTTTCTTTTTCGTACAAAAAAGTAGTCGTCATCCGAGGCTAATAATTAGGTTTTGCACGGGTACTTTTATGGTCGTTATAAATAGATTAAGACAAAGATTAAGACACCCCGGATACCAATCATCCAATTACACTCTTTCTGCATACTCCGGCGATTCTTTTTTTTTCCATTTCGCGGAAAA